AAATAGGGTAAAAAGAAAACATTTGATTTTTGTCAGTCATTGGTAATTAATGAGATGAACTACAGTATATACAGTATAATATTTAGCTCCTGGGCAATTTTTTCCACAAGAAAAAGTGTATCATTTCAAAAAACAAAAAGAGTTTACTAGTACAGAAAGGTATTCTGTAGTGTGAAATGAAAGCATCATGTGTTTGTACAGAATGCCACAGAACACACATGCAGCCTGTTTATTCCTTGCACAACTCCATATACTGAAGTATATTTATGTTAAGATATTGTTCATGAACATATTTTTGTGATGAGTTATCTCTGCCTTTATAATAGAGTCTTCAGCAGACAGCTTCTGGCCAAAATGCAGCCTCCATTTCTGAGCCATGAGTGCTGGGTGTGGCCAGGAAGCTAAGTTCTAGCACATGAAATATGAAGGGAAAGGAAGCATGTACTGCTCGGCTAGCATGGCTCAGTGGCTGAACATTGACCTGTGAACCAGGAGGTCGAGGTCAAGGCACATGCTTCCTGGTTAGGGCACATGCCTGGGTTGTAAGTTTGATCTCCAGTAGGGGGCGTTCAGGGGCCAGCCAATCAATGCTTCTCTCTCAACTTCGATGGTTCGATCTCTCTCTCTCCTTCTCCCTTCCTCTCTGGAGAAAAAGAAAAGTGTGCACCTTCTGGGCCTGCCTTCACACAGAAGTGTGGCCATCCCCACCTTTCTTCCCATGGACTTGAATATGGATAAGGGCTTAAGATGGCAGAGCAGTTAGATAAAAGGGGTCTGAGCCAGGGATGGGGAACCTTTTTCCTGCCACGGGCCATTTGGGTATATAATATCATTCTCAGACCATACAGAATTATCAACGTAAAACTTAGCTTGCTGTATTTGGTTAAACATTTAATTAACTCACCCCTAATACCTTGCCAGGGCCAGACAAAATGATTTCATGGGCCTTATATGGTTCATGGGTGGGACATTTCCACCCCTGGTCTAGGGTTTTGAAACATAGAACCTACATCTGGATCCAGAACTGCTTATATACAATTATTATGTGTGTGTGTGAGAGAGAAAGATGTTCAAGGCACTTCTATGCTGGTTTTCTGTGATGGCAGGCAAATCTGTAGCATAAATGATACAATTTAGTTTGTCGTTGGAATATGAGGTTTGTGCTCAAATGTGCAATTAGGTGTCTACTCAAAGTTCAGATCGTGTTTGCGTGATCTCTTGGAGTATATTTTGCTTTGTAATATGGATTCTGTTTTATGCGAGCAAACGAAAATCTGTTCATACATTTGTGTAACTATTATGGTTATTCAAAAATTTGGGAACGATTTAAATAGCCTCCAGAGAAGTCTGACTGTTGGACTCTCTTTAATTAGTAAACCACCATCAAGAACAAATACACTAGTTCTCTAAAAAAGGTTTAACCTCAAGTCTTGCCCTACATATTTTCCATCTTCACATCTCGTTTGGTTTACAGAGACCACTTCTTAGACTGTCTCCCTCCTCCAGATTGCTTTGGAATTTGTCTCTGAGAATTGCTCTTAACCAGCTGCCTTACCCCAAGGACCCACCCACACTCTATAAGCCCTGGGCCTACGCCACACAGCTTTCTGGAGGGCTCATTTCTAATGTCTGCTCATAATCTATTTGGTTTTCCTTTGATTTCAGTGGTTTCGCTTCAATGATATATTTTGTCATACTTAGGGGAATTGTTAGTTTAAGAGGTTAATATTTACACATACTACAATGCAGTCCTCTCCAATGGAAACTCCTAAAAAAATAGACGTGTGGCTATCCTGATGGCAAAAAATCACTGGAAAACAAGAAAAAATACATCATATAATACAATAAATGGCTGCCAAGATTTGTAGGTTTCCAGAAATGATAAATGAGTTCTATTTTAGTACATTCTGAGGATCACTCTTATAAGCTCTGTTTTTGTTTTCAGGTTTTTTTTTCTTCTTCAAGTATTAGAATCTTGATTGAATGCTGACCCCCAAAAAGCAACCTCCAAAAAACTCATGCTCATAAATTCAGTGAAGGGTTTGGTTCACTCACAGGACCATCAGATAATGAGCTGGTTTAAGTTCTCTAACTAAAATTTTTATTAGCTCAAGTTCCATTTCACCTTTTCAAGCTCTAATCTTAAAGCTGTCAGCATAGCTACCACCAACAAATAGTATAAATGATACAGACAATTAAGCAAAGTCTTTTCCGAATCTGGCACCTAATACCTTAGGCATGAAACTGTATCTCACAAATACAACAAGCTTAAGTCTCTTCAAAAGGCTTACTGTTAAAAAAAATTATTGATTTTTTATTTTTTTACAGAGAGAAAGAGAGATGGATAGAGAGTAGAAACATCCATGAGAGAGAAACATAGACCAGCTGCCTCCTGCACTCCCCCTCCTGAGGATGTGCCCGCAACAAGGTACATGCCCTTGACCAGAATCAAACCTGGGACCTTTCAGTCTGCAGGCCAACGCTCTATTCACTGAACCAAACCAGATAGGGCAAGGCTTACTGTTTTAAACTAGATGCACTGGCATTAGCATTGAGTAGTTAATTGAAACTCTTGTTGATATTTTGAAGAACTTTAAATATTTGTTTCTGTTTAATAAAAGTAATAGTAAACATGGTAACTAAAGGATTCTTTGGTGCCCTTAAAAGAAGCTTCAAGTAGTTTGTATATTTAATATTATCTTTTTGTACTTCGATTAGTTATATGCATTTTACCACACAACTCTATGACCTTTTATAAAAGTTATATAGGGTAAAAAGTGAAAATCCCCCACTTCTACCTTTTGTTTCTGTTGTCCTAAAGTAACTGCTATTAACAATTCTGTGCCTGTTTAGCTGGGATTTGATGTATTCCTATTTAGTCATATACCCCAGCCTATAATTATATCAAATCTATGCCTATATCTATATGTCCCTATATCTCTATATGTATATATCTGCATCCTCACATTTTGTCATATAAGGTTGAGATATGCTATACATATTGCTCTTCCACTGTCATTTTCCAGATATACTATGTTGTGAACATCATCTTTTAGTTAGTGTATATGGATTTCATGCCATCATTTTAATGGTTGCATAGCATTCCAAACTGTAACCTAGTTTATACATAAAATTTTATTATTAACTATGGCATAGGCATGTCATTATAAGCAATAATTATACATTATAGGTGGAAATGTGTTTTTTTTCTTTTTTGTCAGTAATACACAATACAATTATGAACATCTTTGTGCATATATATTTTTTTATGAAGTTGTTTTATTATTTCTTTTGGTAAGGTGCTAAAATGGCCAGTTGCCAATTCAAAGGTATTTTAACTCAGCAATACCAAATAGAACAAAAATTCCTACACATTTTTATTCTAGAGGCTTCTCCTATAACCATACTTTCCCAGAGTAAATTCCAAACATAAAATTTTGTTATTAATACTGTTTATTACAAGGCATCACAAATGAGTTGTGGTGTCAAAGTAAATGTTCCACCCAGATAATGCTATAGTACTCCAGAATGATGAAATGCTTAAAATAGAGTATTTAAGTTAGAACTTGTAGATGAATATAATTACAGCTCTCATAATGCAACCATGCTATAGTGACACATCCAAGAGCAAATTCTTCCCAACATTCTTAGTATCGATATAAATGTCCAAGTGGTGAGCATATGTTTCTGGAATGTTTAATGTTTCTGTCGGCAGTTGGGCAGGGTTTGTCTTATTTTTGGGGAGCTATGTCATAGGTCGGTTAATACCTTCTTATGTCATTATTGCATTCCCTACAACAGATTTGATAAGGTATATGGAAATTTCTGAAAAGGTGAGCTGAGCATTCCAATCTGAACAACTTATACAAAGCAGAAAGAGTTGGCCAGAAGCACAGAATGATCCGCTGGCCTATAGTTGGAGTACCGTGATCTTTGCTGTAAAGTGTTTGACTTCACTTAAACTGACTTATGACATGTCACTGATCTAGTTTGTTAGCAAAACCAGTTTATGGAAACCAGATTTCTTCACTGTAAAGAGAGTGGGAGATTTTTATTTCTCATTGTAGATAGCTCAGTTGAACAGAACTGAGAAGATTAGCTTTGCTAGAATGGCAATTGTGGATTAATATTATATTGAAAGAGGGGCAAGGATGTCACACTAAGGTATCCAATCTGCATTGTTTTGCAATGCCAATGGCCACATTGGATTTACAGAAGAAATCGTATTTATATTTACACCAGGATTATAGAGCACTACACTGTGGGAAGATTTTTGGAAGAATCCAAAAAAACAAGGCAAACTTAGTTCAAGAGTTCACTAACTAACCCATGCTTCATGTAGCCCCACTCGAATCCTTGCTTCCTTCACCTAGAAACTATTTAGGGGATCATGGCATCTACAGGATTAGTCAGGGGGCCTGGGCATGAAAAATAATTTTATTGTACTTATTAGCCCTTTGGGTCAAGAGTTAAAAAGTTGATATACCCATTGATAACAAACGTGTGAGGATAACATTTAAAATAGTATCAGCATATTTGGGGGGCAGGGGTACTGTTGCCATATATTAGGATCACTTTTAGTATGTAATTTATACCTTTTTTTGATAAAATATGCTTTTCAGAGGGAAAAGGAAACAAGCCAAATAAATGTTATTAGATTAAAAAAAAAAATAGAGTCACTCTTTAGATGGGCTTTGAACAGTGAGCTTTCTCATGGTATTTGATTCCAATTGAAGAAAGTGAAACCAATTCTGTCTTCAATACAGTCCCAGAACAGATTGCTCATAAGCCATTGATTACTCAAATGGATAGATTATCCTATTTTAATTTTTATATATTTTGATGGTTTCCCCAAGAAGACACTCTTTGAGTCACACAGTTACATTCTAGGGGGAAAAGAAACATCTACATATCCCTTTCACGCTGCCAAAATAATAAGTGATGGGAACAAGGGTATTCACAACATTCCAAAGGCTAGATAATCTGCACATGTGCCTTACCCTTCTCTTGCGAAGTCTGACTTGATTCTCTGTGGGTTCCTGGGTGGTCAGAGGTTCCTTGGAGTGTAAACACCGCATGCCATCTCCCGAGCTGACCTTTGGAAGACGTTTGTTTTGATGTTCTGAGAAGCCACCCCTCTGCAGACCATTTTCTGCGGACATTCCACCAGGGCAGGAAGGAGGCTGCAGGAGGCAGCCCTCAGTATCTGCTTTTGATAACAGCAGTCCTCTGTCTGCACAGGGACCAGCGAAAAACTCATCTTGCACCGCACAGCAGGTGTTTCTTTCATGCTCCTCCTTGGGGAAGTCGGGTTTCCTTCGTTGCTGAGCAATCACAGCAGAATTAAGCAATTGCTTCTCAGGCACGATGTCCTTCACATTCAACGACTCACATCCATGTGTTTGGGACGCATCTTTTATTTCACTTAAGCTTATATCCTTACAAAGCTCCAGGCTTTTACTTATAATGTCAATCACTTTACTCTCCCTACTTGCTTCCACGAGGGCCAATTCAGCTCCGCCAGCCACTCCCCAGGAGTTGTAAGAATCTTGGTTTCTTTCCGTGGTAGGCAGCGTCTGGACTAAGGAGCCTGCTCCTTGGACGCTGTGCTGGTCTGAGGTTTTGTGCCTGTGGGACGTTAGGATCTGTTTATCCTCTGTAAGACATGGATCAGAATCGGTATCCTCATCAGAAACATGCACCAGGGTTTCCGTGCTGGCTTCCAGAGACAGAAACTGATCTTCACCTTCCTGGCTGTCACTTTCATCCACCTCCTTTGAAATGTGACCCATTGGCCTCCCAGGAAAATCTCTCAGCTCTGATGCATGGCAGCAGTCCGGTAGGGAGACACACTTCTCCTTGTGGTCCGCATTTAGAGTTGCATCTTTTTCCATGCTTGCCTGCAGGCTGTCAGCTACGAGTCCATGATGACATGCTGTGTTATGATCATCAGAACTGAAAGGCTGTCCCATCCATTGGGTCACATGTTCTTCCCAGCTTCTCTTCCTGATAGCTACAGACATGTCATTGTAGTTTAACAACAGATACAGAAATATATTCCATGTGAGGCCAAAGGAGATGGAACTCGGTGAAAGAACTTCAAATTTGCTGACTGAAGAAGACAGTGAGTTTTCTTATTTCACCACCTATTAAAATTTTTTAAAAAAATATATAATTTAGTACATGATTCTAAACTGAAAACATAACTTGGAAAAGAGAGCACTTAATCTATTCTAGAAAGATCAAATTAGAGAGTTTATAAAATTTATGTTTAATAGCTTTAATAGTATTCTTTTAGAAGCAGCTTGATATAAGAAGAAAATTTCACAGTGGATATTTATGATAAAAAATCACGGGCAGTATTTTAAAAGGCAGCTGGATTGATCAATCTATTAACGAATAAAGATGTAACTACTGGACATTGAAAACTTCAGTAAGAAAATATTTGGATTGCAATTCTTGATAAAATTCACTGCAGGACACTTGTTGTTCTAGCTTACATGCTTTCCTCATTTAGTTTTGTGAACACAAATCTTGACAGAAATCTATTTGCTGTTTGGTTTGAATTTCAACAAAGGCCACTAGGGAACCGTGCATGCAAAATCTGAGCTATAGAGACAGCATTTGTAATGTATTAGTGTGTGAAAGAGCAAATACAGATCCCAAACTCTCAGGATGTATTCACTCCAGGGAGTGACTAAGAAACATGAAATAATCCAGTTTAGCTCATATTAACACATAATTCATGGATAAGAAAGCATAACACATACCATTTACAATGCCTCAGGATGAATACATTTACATGCATAGTATTCCTGCTACTAGCTAGCTAGCATTATTGAGGCTAAGAGAAATTCAATAACTTGTTCACGGCTATAGATACATCTAGGAAGTAAGCCGGTAGTCAAAGTAGGCCCTGGTTCTAAGGCCAGGATGAGGTAGCCAACACACTTCATCGTCTCCGTGCAATGAGATCCTGTCTCCACCCCTTCCTTCCACATGTCTGTAGTATGTATAAAAACTAAACTCCGTAGGCAGGAATTCAGGGGAACCAGAAGGACAATGTGAGCATGATAAGGCCATCGGGATAATTCTTCAGAAATCTCAGTCTCTTTGGCTTGCATGGAGTTTAGTTTGTATACTTCTGTTAGAATTCGGCCATAAAAATCTAAGTAAACAAGAAAACCAGGCATAAGATAAGGTCAGAATATAAACACATTCCTGGTATCCATACTTTTTTACCTTTGAATTATTCAAACCCTTAGTTAAAGGAAACAAATTATGCCAGTGTAAACTCAGCCTTATGAAATGTTGTTCCGTAATGAAAGCGAATTCATGGACTGTAAAAGAAAAATCCCATTCACAAAGCAGACACTTCTAGTGTTGACTCCACATGGGGACCTTCAGCACATAACATGGATTGGCTTATTGATTTTAGCCGTAAACAAGATTAACTGCTGTGCTGGTTTTGGGTCACTTCAGGCTATTGAAAAGGACTGACTGCTCACCAAAAATTTCAAGCTATTCTGACTAAGCTCTAAGCACTTGCCAGAAAGGTAAATATTCCCATCCTGTGAAGACCAGTGAAGTTAAGGAATGTACTAGAAATTGGTTCCTCAGCCTGACCAGATACCTTTCTGGATACTATTTGGTGCCCTCAAAGGTCTGTGATCATCTTTAAAAAATGGTCAGCATTCACATTTTCCGTGTGGGCATTCATTCTCCATGCAAAAGAAAATAGAAAGACCCTGAACCCCATGCATAAGTCATTACAGTGTGGGAGGCTACAGAAAGTGGAAAAAATGCATAGATGCAGGTCAGAAAAAATTTGCTTTTATGGGCAAATTTGGGTTGTAATAGGGAGTTTCTGTTTTAGATGCTTTCTTTTCTTTATTTTTATCCAGTGTAGAAAGAGAGGGCTAACTTAAGAAATGCCAAGCGGTATTACTGTGTCATTCCTAAGCCTCATTTACATTTCAGTTGAGACTGAATTTTGGCTTCATTTCTTTTACTAAGAAATTATTAACCCCTTAGAGAACAGAGTACACTAAATTTTGCTTTTAAGACCTTATCTTAATATTAACTAACTTATTTAATTCAACCTTGGCAAGTATGTAAATATTTTTATATTATCAAAGAGAGGCAGTTCAACACGTTCTGAGACAATCTGGTTGCAAAGAAAGACTGTAAATTAGAAATATCCAACATAGTATTAAGTACTCTGTTCTAATTTCTAATCTAGGTTTTTTTAAAATTATTTTTGAATTATTCCTATGAATGTACATTGTCTTTTCTTTCAAGAAAAATGTCCTAATTATTATTATGACAACCATCACTACATTTTGAGTGCTTATTCCATAATATCCTGTGGTCTGATAGATTTAAAAAAAAGTTATCTCTACAAGCTTTCTTATTCATACTTCCTATTTAATTTTTGAGTTATAACATTTATGGTTAAAATCTGCCTCCATGATCTGAAAGCTTAACAGAATCTTAATAAGATGGAACACTGGATTCTTTTCAATCACGTCTCAGCGTATTGGCCTCATTTTCTAAGTCATCTGAATTGATTAGAATCCATCCTGCCAGGAAGATGTGAAGTCTTTGTAATAGTTCTGACTCTCCCGATGGACCACCTCATCAGAATGCCTTATTTAAAATTATATTTCTAAGCTGGCCTGTACGGCTTAGTGGTTGAGCCTTGACCCATGAGCCAGGAGGTCATGGTTCGATTCCCGGTCAGGACACATGCCCAGTTATGGGCTCGATCCCTAGTAGGGGCTGTGTAAGAGGCAGCTGATAAATGATTCTCTCCCATCATTGATGTTTCTATCTCTTTCTCCCTTTTCCCTCTTCTCTCTGAAATCAACAAAAACAAATAAAAATTATATTTTTAACTACTGACTACTTATTTTGTAAATTTCTATTACATTTTTTGGGTAAGCCCTTTTTATGAAATTTCATTCAGAATGAGCTCAGCTGCTGAGGATTTGGATGAAAAATCTGGAAAAGTATAGGTCATTCCAGGGTGTTGATTTTATGAAGTGAATTTCCATGGGGATTTTTCACTTCTTAAATGCATGTGTTCAAACACCACTGTATTAATAGTACAAGAAACTGTGTGTACCTCTAATTATGTAACATTTCAGAAAAATAATTGCAAAATGTCCAACTTTACTATTTGTGATATTAGTGCATAGGATGTTTAGATACAAAGTTATTTCAAATGAATTGTTTTGGCTAATTTTGTAGTATGAACACTCCATAAAGTAAGTACTTTATAGCATATAGAATTTATTTTTAAATTAATTGTAATCGTACTAAAATATGACATCAGACAAATAGATTCTATTGAGAATCACTGACATATATCTGATATCAAATGATCATTTGGCCTGTTTGTGAATTGTCCCTAAGGAAGAAGAGCCTGGTGAAAATCACTCCTGGTCACTCTATAGCCTGGGAGAACATGAGAAAAATGAAGGACTTGTGGCTGTAGAACCGATGGCAACACTGTCTGCCCATCATCATTCCTTAACTAATGTTTATTCAGTGCCATAGACATTGTGCTAAACCTTGGGAATATAAACCTAAATAATATACTGTATTCTACCTTTCCTAAAGAAGCTTACAACTTTATGGTAGAAACTCATGTAAACAAGGATATTAAGTTTTCACATAGCCACAAATGCCACAGAAAATTTAACACAGAGGAAGGGGTCATCAACTCTTCCTCCTTTTCCTCTCTCCCTCCTCCCTCTTCATTTTCTAAATCATTTGAATTGACTAGAATCCAGATTGGGAAGTCTTTGTAAATGTCCTGACTTTTGCCCCAGTTGGTTTGGCTCAGTATCTAGAGCATTGACCTGAAGACTGAAGAGTCCCAGCTTTGATTCTGATCAAGGGCACATGCCCTGGTTGTGGGCTCCATGCCCAGTAGGGGGCATGCAGGAGGCAGCCAATCAATGAATCTCTCTCTCCTTTCTTCTCTGAAATCAATCAATATATATATATATATTTAAAAGTCCTAACTTTTAAAAGTTTTTGTAAAAATCATTCTTTCTTTCTTCCTTTGTCTGTTCCTTTCTTTCAAGTAGTGTTGGTGATGGTGCAAACATTAGATAGGGCCTCTAGAGGAGGGAACCCCTGAATGAGGCCCTCTGTGGGAAATTTCCTGCTTCCACAACATCCAGGTCAAATGGGAGTTGAGATGTATTTCCCACTCTATATGCGAAGTCTTTCTTTCCTTTTGGATTTAGATTTTTACTATTCTAGAATCACCTCTTTAGAAAAGATAACAGAAGCATCATTAAGCTCCAGAGAATTACTTGCAACTTGAAAACTCACCGGTCACACATTTCTATGGAGCATTTCAGAGAAAACTAATGGGAGAAATTTTTCAAAGGAAAAGAATGCCAGATAATTTCTCAGAACTAATGAATTTAGTTTTAAGATTGAAGAGAATCCATGGAATATCCAATAACACAAAGATCAGGAATAGATCACACCAATAAACATTATTGTGAAATTTCAGAAATTTAGAAATAAAATGATCGTAAATATTATCAGAGTAAGGAAAAAGAAACTACATATTAGGTATTGGGAATCAGAACAATGTTAGATTTCTTAATACTATATATAAGACAGGTAATGATTGGTTGCCTCCTGCATGCACCTGATGGGAGATCGAACCCGAAACCTGGGTATGTGCCCTGACTGACAATAGAACCCGCCGGCTCCTGGTGTAAGCACCAACCAATTGAGCCCACTAGCAAGGGCTATAAAATGTTTTAAAGAACGGAAATGTAATCATTTTATACTACTGGCTTAGCTGTGAAATTTTTTGGTAACCAAGACAATGCAAACAGTAAATACTGACTTGATAAAAATTTTAGATAAACTATTTTCCAAGCATAGATTTTTTTTGGGGGGTGAGGTTAAGGAAGGTAGGCAGAGTAGTTTCAGAGAACAAATGTTTAATTTTCTATAGTAGGAAGTGAACTGATAATATCTAAAATGGAAAAAAATAGTGTAACATTGTTTAGAAGTATGGAAATAAATAACAGGAAAAATAGCTAAAATTTTAAAAAAGTATTATGCTTCTAAATATTTTTGCTTAAGATAGGGAAACAAGTATCCTATCTAT